TGTAGTTCAGATAACATAATATTTTGAGTTTCTGATTATTAAATCAATCTCCTTCATTGTATTAACTCAATTTTTCAATTTCAGTGAACTTAAAGTTTTAAGGCAACCAGGTTACATCATTTTTTAAGTTAAACCAACAATATTTTTTACAGTGTAGTATATTGCCTACTGCACACTGACTGTACACAGTACTTTTTTTTTTAAAGTAACGTGAAATTGTATGCAGTATGTTATCATTTTCATCTCATTAAGTTTAACTAATTCAGTTCCATCCTTAAAAAGTTGTTTTAAAATAGTTATTTTGCATCTTTAATGCAATTTTTGTGGTTATTTCATGCATATAGAATTATTTTCGTAGCATTTTTCATCCTGTTTTCCAGTAATATCTACATGTATTAAAAAGTGTATTAATCAAGTTACATTAACTTAAGCAAAATGACATTAGAAATGAAGTCTAAGTTTTATGCTTCGAATAAATATCTGCCAACGATTCGCTTTTAATTTAAAAGTACTTCTCTTATCCCAGATATAGGCAGATATATTTTCTCTTTTTAAAGCTTAAACTCGCTTAATTTTGATATTTAATATTTGCCATTTACTGGATAACAAGTCAAAAGCACTAAATTTTAAATCATTTTTTGCAGTGTACTGCAGCAATAGAGTAGATTGGTAATACAGAATCGAATAGTAGTACTGGACTGAATGTGACTCTTTCTGACTCGCACAATCAGACGGTTGTTCCCTCAACACTCATTCACAGTGCACTGTCGCCCTCTGCAGCGCTGCTCTGCTACTGAAAGTCAACTATTAGTTGCATAAAGTCGGACCCTCATCAATACCGATCACATCTGAAAGCCTTTCACAGTAACGACAAGCTTTTTCAGGAGTCGTTCAAACTGAAAACAGCTTCATGAATTAGTGCTGAGAAATCTGACAAGCAAAAACACACAATATAAAAAGTCATAGATGGTTGTTTAAAAAAAGAATCATACTCAATTTGAAAAGTCCCTAAAGCTGAAGAGATAAGGAATACTTTGGCTTAAATTAACACTGTCAATGACAACAGAAGAAAAGAGCAAAAGGAATCATTTCCCACGATCCTATGTGTTTCGGTGATTTCAACATCACTTTTCATTCGATACATTGTTTTAGACTCACACTGCCACATGTGGAATGAAATGTTAATAAACAAAAAAATATTATTTTAGTAATGCTTAAATACAAAAATAAACAGGAGATTCAAAGGCTACATGATATAAAAATGAAAATAATACTTCAAACTCATTTGAAAAGAGGATGCAGTTGAGTTTGATCTTGTTTGAAAAATTACATATATATTATAATTCATTATAATAGTTGCATTTGTAAGGTATTATGAAAAACTTTATGATGCATTAAAATACATTTAAAATGCATTATATATATATATATATATAAAGGCTGTCAAACTATTAATCGGGATTAATCGCATACAAAATAAAAGTTTGTGTTTACATAATATATGTGGGTGCATTGTGTATAATTATTTTAAATACAATAAATACACACACATGCTTGTATAATATTTAAGAAATATTTTCATGTATATACTGTATGTAGATTTATATATACTTTATATTATATATAAATATTTTATAATAATTTTCTTAATGTGTGTGTATTTATATACACACAAAATAATTATACACAGTGCACCCACATATATTATGTAAACACAAACTTTTATTTTGCATGCGATTAATTGCGATTAATCGTTTGACAGCCCTAATATTATTATTATAATACTTTCCTATTCATAGATACAGTTTTAACAGCAGCATAACATTTCATATAACACGTAAATTTCAGTTTTTAACGTATTATAGTCTTTGTTGTGGATGGTTGTTAGGCGGCTTTAAAATGAAAATAAAATAAACTCACTTAATTATGAAGCTTTATCTGTACGCCAGGTAAAACGCGTTCTCATTCAAACCCGATATTTAATACAAGTTTGTTCGAATCCCTAATCATCAAGCGATTATTCTGCTTACGACTGCATAAGGCTTCATAAATACCTTTATGATACATTACATAAAGCTTCATAGAAAGTGCGAGCGAATAAATATCAAAAAATTCAAAATGCAAACATCTACATTCAAAACAAATCGAATAGTCTTCAACTATAAGGTTATTATTAGCATTAAGACATTAAAAATGAATGGTGTTTATGAAAATGATACAAAAAAAATCTAGTTTATAATGTTTTGGTGGAAACTTACGGAAGGCAAATTATTAACAGTGCAATTTCACACGCCTGCTGGCAAAGACACGCGACAGCTTTCAAGTACAATACATTTGTCTCGTATAACAATATTCAGAATAAACCTGTGATGCCAATGCAAAGGAGAAAATCACCTCTTGATTTACTCACATAGTCGTACGCCAACCTCTCAAACTGTGTCGAACGAGTCCAGGGCGAAGGTGTCCGTCTTGTCTTTTAAGGCCTGAGGTTTAAGTCCCCTTATTCGAGTAGGGATAGTATTGCCACAGTAATGCTGGATAAAATGGGTTATACATCAAGACTTTGATTACTATGAACTAACATTTGTACAAGGACAAGCTCAGATTTTGAATGTGTACAGGGCAGGGAATGGGAATCCATGATGTAATCCCAGGTGATGGATTACATCATAACAGAACAAAAAGTTGTAGACCATAGTGACTTTTCCAATACTTCTTGTTCCACTGTTTCCATATTATAAATAAGGCATTTTCCATTATGGATACATTTGACCAGATTACTCCAATTAAGGTCCATTGCATAACCTTCAGATCTTACACTTTTTAGACAATTTTCAAAATGCAGAAAGTGCTGAGGGGAAGCCATTTCTTATGGATGATATAATACTGTTGGACCAGAGTGAAGATCCATAATCACACAAACAGGGATGTTTCAAACCGCTCAGCTGAATAGTACTGTAGTTTAGTGGTGTTTTCCCACACTGATTAAGGATACATAGAAAGACAAATTATTAGAGGATGCTTTTGATGCATCCGTCCTGGCTTTATGGCCCAACACCACTCAGTTTACATAAAGCTGAAGCAATCCGTGTGCAAAAGCAAAACAAATGTTCACCAAAGATGAACAAACATCCCAGGATTCATCCCAATCCTCCACCGAGGCAGTTGGCACGTCGAGTGAGTTTCAGTCATTGGCCTATAATGCTGTTTTTGCTTCTTGAAATGCTAAATTCTCCACTCCAGAGGGTTTCATATAGTGGTCCATTGGCCATTGGTGACTCCTAAAGCTCATTTCTGTGCACCACAGGCCAAACCTCACCTCGAGCCCGGCTCTTCTGCCGGCTGATTGGCTGTGTCAATCAATGATGCTTTCCGTCCGTTCAAAGAGTGGCCAAGATCCGTGAGAATGAAAGGATGACGGTGAAAGCGGTCTGGCCCACCCCGAACACCAGAGCTTCAAGAGGAGCCATGTCCTTCCCTGCCACGCGGTACACGGCCGCCACTGCCGCACCTGACAATTACAATACATGAAGACAAACTTATATTTTGAAAGTTATGGTTGCTAGGTGGTTTCTAAGCAGTTTCTGAGGTGTTCCAGATAGAAATCACACAGAACACCTCAGCAACTGCATAGCAACACACTAGCATCAAGGCAATGAAATGTAAAAATTTAGTTGGATCAGAAACAGCACTTAATGAATCATGCACAAAAACACCATGCACATTTATTCATTCGAAGTCCGAGAACATGCGCACTTGACTTAATGTGCTAATATTGTCCGATAAGAAGAGCAGAAGTGTGTGAGTACTGACTGGTGATGACCCCTCCGGTGAGCGAGGCCAGGAAGCCCACGCTGATGAGCACCAGTGTGATGAGCCGTCCTCTCTTATGACGCTGCAGCGTCACACACATCAGCAGACCCACGGCGCTGTGAACCAACAGAGAGGAGAATAGACACCACAGGAACACCCAGTACCACATTTCTGCAGAGAAAACACACACACACACACAGAGAAAAAAAGAGAGCACATGCATGAATATGTCAGATGCATGGACATAACATTTGATATAATATGTTTAACTTTTGGCTGTTCAATCCAAGAATTAGTCAAAAAAAAGATTTGATTCTGGATGCATATTGTGCACAGTAAATTTGGCAAAAGTACTTTAGTAGAATAGTAATTTGTGCATGTTTTTTTTTTCTTGCTTTAAAAAGTTCTGCTTTCTGCTTCTTGAGTGAAGAGGAACTACAATGTGTTAAAGAAACACTAACACAGTAGATTCCAACCATTTTTATCACATTAATCTGTCATTTATTTGAATTACTTTAAAAAAAAAAACCTTTTATGTGACTAAATATCAACCTCATACCACACCCAGACTTTCCAAGTATATTTGATTAAACACAAATTATGACTGTCACTGAGTTTTGACGTTATTTTCAACACAACCAACAATTTTCCCACTATATATATATATAGTAATATAAGACTACTTGGTTACCAAGGAGAAGAGCGGGAGATGAAGATAAAGGTTAAATGTTGTTCCTTCGAACTTTCTACATATCAAACAATCATGAAAAAATGCATCACGGTTTCCACCAAAATAGGAAGCAACACAACTGATTTCAACATTGATAATAATAATAAGACATTTTTCTTAAGCAGCAAATCATCATATTAGAATGATTTCTGAAGGATCATGTGACACTGAAGACTGGAGTAATGATGCTGAAAATTTAGATTTGATCACAGGAATAAGAAAATCGTTACTTTGAATTGGAATAATATTTCACAATATTACTGTTTTGAGAGTGTTTTTATCAAATAAATGCAGCCTTGGTGAGAAAAAAGGAACAAGAATTCATAGAAAAATATCTTACTGGCCCCAGTAAAAAAGCAAATATCACCAGTCATTTTTTTTTTTGTAACTTCCAATCAAGCTGTTAATTTAGTCAAATTATGCAAAAAAGCATGAAAATATAATTAATTGTGTGTGTGTAAATAAACAAAAATTATATAAATGTTCTCCAGTCAGATCCAATCTTAACAGAGCAGAACACATTGTACTTACAACAGTGAACCTCGATAAATACTCGCCCACTATCACCAACCACACTTTCTCATAAACTGTCTAGTCCACTTTCATAATCTCTCTCTCTTTACACTCAACATGGACAGTCTGTCTCCACTGAGAGAATCAGACAGCTCTGGATTGTTCCAGAGGGCTCCGTGACATGGACGAGCATCTTTGCTCAACAACATAACTGATTATCAAACTGCTGTTGTCATGAACGCTGGGAAATGCAGCTCCGCATAAATGAAAAATGCTTGAGAAACCAACACGCTCAGGCAGAAATACTGCTGACAGCTTTAATTTAACATGTCAAAGCAAACGCGTCAAATAACCAACTGCATAGTTGCACATGGGACGCTGTATATAGTGCTGATCAGAGCGTTTGTGCCCTGAAGCAAAGAGACGTTGTGCCATTAACACCCTGTGTTCATTCAGCACAGAAATGAATTTTCAGCATCATGCCTCCAGTCTTCAGTGTCACATGATCCTTCAAATCATTCATATATGCTGATTTGCTGCTCAAGAAACATTTCTGATTATTATAAATGAGGAAAACTGCCTAATATTTTTTTTTTGTGGAAACTGTGATACACACTACTGTCCAAAAGTTTGAAGTATGTTTTTAAAAGAAATTAATACCTTTATTCAGCAAGGACATAAACAAATTCTACAAAAATATGAAGCAGCAAAACATGTTTTCGACATATATAAATTGTTTATTATATATATGTACTATGTATATATATATACTAAAAAATGCTGAGTTATTTCAACCCAAATTTGGATCAAATATTGACAAACCCAGTAATTGGGTTAACATTTTAAATGACATTTTTAACCCAAAGTTTGGGTTTGTCCATATTTTACCCAAAATTGGGTTTTTTAGAGTGGATATATATCCAAAAAAAAATGCTGGGTTGTTTTAACGTAATTTTGGGTAAAATATGGACAAACCCAAACTTTGGGTTAAAAATGTCATTTGGGTTAAAAATGTCAAATGTCATCAAATGTCATACTGGGTTTTAACCCAAACTTTGGGTTAAAAATGTAATTTAAAATGTTAATCCAATTACTGGGTTAACATCCAATTACTATATATATATATATAGTCTGTCAAAAGATTCTGATTGGTTGGAGGGTGTGCAATAAAGCCATTTAATGCACAGGTAGGTTCAAGTCAGTTTAATAGTCCGTTCTATATTAATGCGCTGCTTTCATTATTATATAAATATTAATAAATGAACTTCGCAACTGAATCACTTGATTATATTACTCAGCAAGGACGGTGTAGTTTTTAAAAATAATTCAACTCACAACTTCATTGCTAGAAGACAGACACTGCAAATTTGCAGGTAATTCACACACACACTAAGACACTCATCTCTCTATATATATATAATATTTATTTGAATGAATCTCTCACGATCGGCTGATTTATTCAAATAAATGTTATAATTTAATCAAATAAACAACCTTTGCGCACTACTTTATCTCTGTGTCTGATTTAAAGCTAACAGACAGAATGCTAGATCTAATGAGTGGTATAAACTATCATTGCATTAGATCATGAGTGACATGTGAAGGTCAAGTATGATAACGCATACTGTATTTAAACCAACCATGTTAGTGCACACACATTAGGAGTAGTGAACACACACACAGTAAACCGTGGACAACCCTTTGGCGCTTAGGGAGTGATTGGGTGTTAGGTGCCTTATTCAAGGTCAAGGTCTTGTCATTTCCTGCCAGTATTGAGAATCGAACCTGCAACCTTTGAGTTACCAGTCTGACTCACTAACCATGACTAACCATCATCTATGTGTAAATGACTAAAGACTGACACAAACACAATGTATTGATTACGCTATAAGCTGCCGCTCACATGCTAAGTGAGACGTAACGTCCAGACAGAGAAGGCTTTTGTGCTGCAGGTCTGTAAACACACACACACACACACACTGTTATCAGAAAAGCGTCAGCCCATCCATGCTGTGCCAGGAACACTGCTGCAGTTCTGAGGTGAGGTGGCAATGCCTAACAAAAAGCACCGAGAACACACAACTACTACTGAGACAATTTAGCAATGCGATGCAGGAAAACACACTTCTGCTGGGAGAGAGAGAGTGAAATAGACTCAAACACAGAGATATAGAAGGAGCACAACTGAATGATGCTGATGGAAATTATTAGTTCAATGTACTACTGACCCACATTGCCAGAGACACTCATTTTTACCTACAAATGTATAACACTATTAAACTATGAAGAACCAAACAAAAGTAAACACTGGACAGAACGTGTGACAGGTTATGGTAGGTTACTCTAATTTATACAACAACATCAGGACATATTTTTAAGGTCATATTGTCAAACAAGAGGGCGGGGTCAATGTAAAGCGTTTGGCTTGTGAAAGGCCTCTTTGGGTTTTCGTCGTGTCAACAAAGCAGTTTCCGAGGTGACAAAAGCCTCTTTTGTCAGGCTGTCAATGGTCATAGTCAGACAATGTTCCTCAACATCAGCACAGGACAAAATCCTTAATCCAATTAAGCAAGCACACATAAACAAACATGCTAATTTAGTGCTATCTAACACTGTGGCGAACCACAATAAACTTAGCCAAATGCTAAACGAGATAATGATCCAATGAGCAAAGTTGTCATGCTAACAGGGTTTAAACGTTTAATGAAAGTTTCTACTTCCACACAGCAAACTCAATCGCTGCATACTGAGATAATTAACTTCATTGGGGGTATAATGGATGTTTATGTTGGTTTTGATGTCACGGTGAGATCGTATTATAGATAAAATGGCACACACAAAAAATACAGACTTGCTCTAAAAAAAAAGAAACACCCACAACCCCTAATGTAGTGACCGAATATTTCCACACGAAACCAGGAGTATACATTCATGTTTTGAATGTTTTAGTAAATTCAGCAAGGATTAAGCATTCAATTCAACAAAATATTTTAAATGCTCATCAAAGAATTCTGAAAAAAAAAAGTCACGGTTTGCACAAAAATATTAAGCAGCTCAACTGTTTTTTTTTTTTACATTGTTAATAATCAGAAATGTTTCTTGAGCAGCAAATCATCGTGTGACACTGAAAAGCAACGTTTATAAGAACACACTGTTTACCCAAAGGCACAAACAACTGCTAAGTAGGCAGAACTCCTTCTCCTTCACAAACAGAAGAAGGAAATGAAATGACAAAATAGGCTTGTTTCACTGACCAAAACAGGAAACCCCATTAACTCTCCTCTCGAGTCATAATCTCCATACGTTCTCTTTGAGTCTCTGTGCTTCTGCACCTGTGCTGTTCCTTCATCATCATAAAGAGCGATGTCTCCTGCGTAACACATCTGAACACAGCTGTCTCTGTCAGCAGTATTCTGACCAATGCTGAGTTGCCACCTCATCCCATCACGTTCTTCAGCCAAAAATCTATATGTGTCATTATTTACAATTATGTAATAAATGTATGGTATTTTCTTTTTTTTTGGTTACTCTACCCTGTTTTCTTTTTCAACTAGCAAATTTAGTGATTTTTGGACTGCTAGTCAGTCACTAAATAATACTCTTTCTGTTATCTGACCGAAAATATGTAAATGGGAACAGCTTTTATTGGACATTCGGTTATATATTGTATTAAAACACAGTATATGAGCACGGATTGAGAGAAAACGGATGTAAAGACAGTTGCCACATTACGTCATCTAGTGTCATTAAGATACTTTTTGAGCACTGTTGGAATGGGTGGGTGAGTAATAAATGTCTTTTTTTTATTTATGAGTGAATTATTTGCTATCTCATATGCAACCCGTCCTGCAATTCTCTCTCAAGTTGCATCATGTGTTGCGTCATGCCAGATGTCCACAAGATTGCAAAAATTATAATCTGGGCAAATCTCCAGTAGCACCTCATTAAAGTACACAAGAACCTGGGGGCGGAGTTGGATCCAGATCTAAGGGGCAGAGATGGGTAGGATTAGGGGTGGGGTTGGGGAACAGGGGGAGGAGATGGGTAGGATTAGGGGTGGGGTTAGGGATCAGGGGCGGAGATGGGTAGGATTAGGGGTGGGGTTAGGTATCAGGGGGCGGAGATGGGTAGGATTAGGGGTGGGGTTAGGGATCAGGGGCGGAGATGGGTAGGATTAGGGGTGGGGTTAGGTATCAGGGGGCGGAGATGGGTAGGATTAGGGGTGGGGTTAGGGAACAGGGGGCGGGGATGGGTAGGATTAGGGGTGGGATTAGGGATCAGGGGGCGAAGATGGGTAGGATTAGGGGTGGGGTTAGGTATCAGGGGGCGGAGATGGGTAGGATTAGGGGTGGGATTAGGGATCAGGGGGCGAAGATGGTAGGATTAGGGGTGGGGTTAGGGATCGGAGGGCGGAGATGGGTAGGATTAGGGGTGGGGTTAGGGATCAGGGGCGGAGATGGGTAGGATTAGGGGTGGGGTTAGGGAACAGGGGGCGGGGATGGGTAGGATTAGGGGTGGGATTAGGGATCAGGGGGCGAAGATGGGTAGGATTAGGGGTGGGGTTAGGGATCGGAGGGCGGAGATGGGTAGGATTAGGGGTGGGGTTAGGTATCAGGGGCGGAGATGGGTAGGATTAGGGGTGGGGTTAGGGATCGGGGGCGGAGATGGGTAGGATTAGGGGTGGGGTTAGGGATCAGGGGGCGGAGATGGGTAGGATTAGGGGTGAGGTTGGGGATCAGGGGGCGGCGATGGGTAGGATTAGGGGTGGGGTTAGGGATCAGGGGGCGGCGATGGGTAGGATTAGGGGTGAGGTTGGGGATCAGGGGGCGAAGATGGGTAGGATTAGGGGTGGGGTTAGGTATCAGGGGGCGGAGATGGGTAGGATTAGGGGTGGGGTTAGGGAACAGGGGGCGGGGATGGGTAGGATTAGGGGTGGGGTTAGGTATCAGGGGGCGGAGATGGGTAGGATTAGGGGTGGGGTTAGGTATCAGGGGGCGGGGATGAGTAGGATTAGGGGTGGGGTTAGGCATTAGGGGGCGGAGATGGGTAGGATTAGTAGTGGGGTTAGGGATCAGGGGCAGAGATGGGTAGGATTAGGGGTGGGGTTAGGGATCAGGGGGTGGAGATTGGTAGGATTACCCATTAGGGGTGGGGTTAGGTATCAGGGGGCAGAGATGGGTAGGATTAAAGGTGGGGTTAGGGATCAGGGGCGGAGATGGGTAGGATTAGGGGTGGGGTTAGGGATCAGGGGGCGAAGATGGGTAGGATTAGGGATCAGGGGCGGAGATGGGTAGGATTAGGGAGGGTTAGGGATCAGGGAGTAGAGATGGGTAGGATCAGGGGGTGGAGATGGGTAGGGTTAGGGATCAGTGGTGGAGATGGGTAAGTTTAGGGGTGGGGTTAGGGATCAGGGGGCGGAGAAGGGTAGGATTAGGGGTGGGGTTAGGGATCAGCAGTGGAGATGTATAAGTTTAGGTATATGTAATGTGGGAGGAGTTGGATATGGATCCAACTCCTCCCCCTAGATTTCTTGTTCTGCAGTGAGACCATCTCAAAATCTCGGAAGTGAAAGGACGGGTGTGTGTCATGTGCCTCATGCACCATAAAACCAGTGTACACTTGTTCCCTAGAAATTCTTCAAGCTGCCTTCCAGACACATTCACTTACCTGCTGTGGTCTTTTATATTACATCACATTGTTCACCCAGACTTTTGATTCATGACCCAGATTTTACATCAAGTGACCCAACAAAATACAAAAATTATCGCACAAATGTATATGAATAGAAATCTTTTGTAACATTATAATTATTATATGTGTATATTAGTGGTTTAATGCACTTTTTGGGTCATAATAACCAGTCTATGGTCATAACTCACTAATTAAGAACCACTGCAATCAGTCAAAAACAAATCATAACATCCTTTATATACACAACAAAATCATTTAAGGAAAGGGAAATATTATTGCTGTGGTTTTTCCATGGAAGGTTACACCCTTGTCAATGAATATATGTTTTTACACAGTATCCGTAGCCTGGTCTCATGTCACTCAATCTACAAGGCAAGACTGTTTAATGCTGAACAACAGAAGCCCATAAGCACAGTATCATGTGGAGACCAATATGGTGAAGGTAATTACTAATGATTACTCCACTACACGAGCCGAGAGCCGCCAGAAACCATGCAATGACTCAAGATTAACTAAAGATTGATGGGTGGCACGATGCTTTTTAGAGGTTCACATTGGACTGGCTGGATGCATTAGAGCACTGCGGTCTATGGCTTTTACATCTAATACACAAAAACAGACGTCTCACAGTCAGGTGCATTGGGAACTACTACAACACACATACTATAGTTATTCAGATTACAAAAAATATAGTTATTCAGATTACAAAATTTTTTGGACATGGTGACATGGTAAAACTATAATTCAGACACAACTATGATGGTACTACCATGGTATTTATTAAAATACTGAACTAAAAATAAATAAATAAAATTATATAAAAAAAAATATATCACAATATATGAAAATTATACATAGGCTACCTTGATACCATTAGCCACAACAACAAAAATGTTACCCTTACGAAAAGTACTTTGGCTATACCGTTACTGTATTTTCTGAACATGTTCCAACATAAAATCATATTTTTTCCCATATTTCCCATGGTCTTTTTCACTAGGATGGTTAATATATATGCAGGCAATCACAGCAGACTGCACACACACGATGCCACGATGTATAGTATAGTTCACTGGCAATACACACTTAAGTGCTGCATGCAATAGGCTATAATGCATAATTAATTTAGCATGTAAGCACAGAGTATACAGTGTGATGTGAAGTGTGACCTTGTTCGGATGGGAAGCGCACAGCTGCTCGTGTTTCTGCCGGTACAATAGACTGACCGGTGTGTGTGGAGAGGCGTGTGCGCGCGTCTGGATGACACACATGAACCCGTTTCACCCGATCTTTCTCTTCTCGTGAACGTACCTGTGAAGTGCTGTAGGTTCGGTACCGTGCCCTGGACCCACAGGCTGAGCACTTGCTGCACCGATAGATTAATGGAATAATCCTTATTCATTTTCGCGCCGGGCGGCTGGAGCACGGCCCTCTTGCTCAGATATCTGACCGAGGATGGGGGACACATGGAGCCGGTTCACCGGGGCCGCGGCTCGCTGGAGGAGGATGGCGGAGCGCCGGTTCGTCTGATCAGCTGCTGCTCAGGGGCCATGATGGGTACGGCTGACACACACACGCTCACACACACACACACACACACACACACACATACACTCTCTCTCACTCACACACATACACACGCGCACACACACACCAGCAGCGCTTCTGTATGGCGTTTAAAGGCGCAGCGCTCTTAAAGGGAAGTGAACATCACATTTTACACTACGATCAAATACAGCAGTTTATGAATGGATGATAAAAAAAAATTATTAATTATTAATTCAGTTTATATATATATATATATATATATATATATATATATATATATATATATATATAGTAAAATATTAAATCATTTTAAATCAAAGCATTTAAACCAAATGCTATACAATTAGTATATTTAAATGTCAATTATATAAAATATTAAATAAATAGGACTATTACTACTACTACAAGCCTAATAATATTAGCAAGTTCTGAAATATTAAATAACATTAATATTAATAAAAAAAATAATTGGTATTGTGGATATTAATATTATTATATAATAGGATAATAATAATAATAATAATGCTATAGTTAAGTTAAACCAGATTATATACAATTATATTAATTTGTATATTTAAATATCAATCAAATATTATATTATTATTATTATACAGCTTATTTATATATTATATGATGTGATTTTGATTACATAAGCTGCTATACAATAATAATCATCATTATTATCTTGAATATTTCTAGTCTTGCCTCCTCTTACTGAGTAAAGTTGTTGCTGTAATGGGACATTTTTCCCAAATAAAAAGCAATCTATTTTTTGGAAACATCTTACTGAGTATACATGTAGATTGAAATGCTATCTAGTAAGTGTAGACATTAAGATATTAATGTCTGAGCTAAATTGAAGAAGCTTTCTTAAGCTCCTGGCAGTTTCTGGAAGAGATTATGGGCTTAAATATGTTCCCTAACTATAATAGTTTTGCAAATACAGATTGCACTACATACACCAAAGGAAATGTATGAAGCAAAAATATGCTGCTTATCTAACCTCATAGGCCTACAAAGGTCTATTGATTAATCATGCAATACTAAACATAAAAGTAAAATAAGCTGCTCTTAGATTTTTTAGGACAATGAAGTAAATTCCCAGAACAGGTTCATGGAGTCGGATTAAAACGTAGGCTAAATATGAGATTTTCACTGACATAAGCGGAGCCGCTTCTGTTCCTCAAACACACACCCTGATCATTTCCCCACTATTTATCGGCCTGACATTTGAGCCTACACTTGTTGTATTACCTTACAAACCCAAACCTCTCCTCATTGTAAAAACGCTCCATTGTAGGAACAATACGAAATGATGTCTGAATCGCAGGTCACGTGACGAGCCCAAAGGACTGGATGGATTAGTTTGAAGGCAAACACCTGACACATGATCAGACCTGGGATAGGAATGACTTCTGGACCTTTTGAAGAAATCCCAGCTCGTCTAAATGGCCGAAGGGTGTGTTTCCAAAAGCAGAAGCAGCAATCATTCAACTCCATGAGCATTGTGGGACTTAAAAGCATCACCAGCTGCTTACACAAACCTAGCAGCCACAGAAATGAGTATCGGTTACAATCATTCAGTTTGTACAAAATTAAGAACTATATTTACTATAATAAAGAATTATAAAGTATGTATAATGAATTCATCATTCTGCTAATGGCACACGGAGTAATTAGGTCTTCGTCAAGTTAGGGATGCAAATTACCATAACAAACATCGATATTTGCATATCACAACAACACTCTCCCATGCGGTTCATTCGGCCTTGAATTTAATGAGATTTGCTGCAACAACAAAATAAATAAAGAAACATCATACTTTATAGTGATATTCAAATGTGTCTTCAACGACACGATGTAATAGGTTGTGGAAAATTCCATATAGTAAAATAACTAATTTTTCAGCCTATCCAGCAGATGGCGCTGTGAACTTACATTGTACAGATTGACCCAGTAGTTTTCCAGTGTCCAAAAGCTCAGAAGTATGTAAGTACATGTAGGCCTACAGTTAGACCTAAAGCATCTGTCTGTCTATGTGTCCGTCTTTCTGTCTAGTAGTAAGTAATAATATTTGTGTATTAGATTTCTTTTGAGCAATTTTGGAATTGTCCTTTTGTGCAATGCGAGTGCTCACAGTCTGACTGTAAAAGCTCTCAGCCTATCATTAGAATCGTTTAGGTGTGTGTGTGTGTGTGTGAGTGAGTGAGAGAGAGAGAGAGAGAGAGAGAGAGAGAGAGAGAGAGAGAGAGAGAGAGAGAGTCTCCAAAAACGTTCTCGCAGCCGCTGCATCTAAATCTGTTAGTGTGCGTCAGTCGTTGTTAGTGTGTAACCGAATCTAAGGGAGTGACATGGCTGGAAGCGTGTTATATCAATCCATTCATACTTCTTATTTTCTGGATTCTCTCATTGTTTGCTTCTTCTGCTCTTTCTCTCTCTTCAGGTGACTCATGTCTTGGAGAGCTCATCTGAAGAGAGTTACACGATTCACTGGAATGATCAAGTCCCAGCCTGAGTCACAACCACAGACCCCACTGAACAAACACAACATGACACCAGGGCCTATTCATCACCATAAATACCCTTTTCATTTGATTTTTTTCTGGCTGGTGTTGGTATATTGTCAAATGCAGGGGGCCTCAGCAAATTTCCAAATGGGGGTGGATGATTTTTGTCAAAATAAAATAGTATTATTTGTATTTATTATAAAAGTAATAATCTAATTATAACATACATTTACATTTATATTATAATTATTAACAAATTCACATATTTGGTAACACTTTATTTTAAGGCAACAAATACTAGTAAATAAACAGTCACTATTGTGACATTTTCACAATTTTCTTTCTAGACAAATAATGTAGTTTAGTTTCTGTTGATTAAGTCAAACTCCATTGCATTAATTCATTTTTTTTTTTATTTTAATGAACTCGATATTTTTAGGCAACCAGCTAACTTGCGTGTAACTTCAAAACCAAAACGGTAACACTTTATTTTACAGTCCTGGTCAAATACAATTACTAACCCTGAACCTAAACTTAACCTTAACCCATGTAGTTACCTTATTTGCATACTGTAAGTACACGAAAGTGCATGTCCTATAAAATAAAGTCCAACCCGGACAAGTAATGCGGTTAAGAAAGACCTGGAACTACTTTAGCTGTGCGTTTCCCTGAAAATAATAGGCTATATGCACGCATAAGTTCCGCATTTGACGCAAGGATGCTCTTCAGTTTCTGGTTGGGGAGATTTAAAGCGGAGGAAAACCGAGGAAAACGGGATTATGGCAGAGTCTCCCGTCTTTGAAACGAAACTTTCATACGTTTAGATGTCATTTTATATATACTTATATTTACTTAATATAATTTTAAAAAGAAGCATAAACACAACGAGGGGTGTCTGTTTTTGTGACTAACGTTTCTTTAGTATAACCATGGAGTATAAAATTCAATATAAACTCTCGATATTGCATTGGACTCTACGATCGGCGGAAGTTATCGAGCATCCTTGGACCTTCACCGGAAATACCGCCGTGCATAGAGCCCATACCCCTTAGAACGTCAACCAATCAGATTCAAGCATTCAACAGGCCCGTGGTAATTGGGCGCGCGAGCAGAGGCATTCGCGCTCGGCACGTTTTAATCCGCGCGGGAGCAGAGAGATTATTTCGCGCTCGCGCATTACATTATTGCACTTTCGCGCTACAATAATGTGCTCTCAACATTTGACAGGAAAATAACGCCATATATTTTTAAAGAATATCCTGGTGGTCAAGCTTAAAAAAGGGGGGGAAAGAAGCGCTTTAGACGTTGTCCATGCGTTTTTTAGACGTCTTCTGAAGTCAAGCGTTTCTCCACAGATTATATTTAGGCTACTAAAAATCTTTGCTGTGGCTCTCAACTCAAATCTGATGCAAAGAGCCGAAAGGTACCATATTAGATTTGTGAAATGGCTCCTTATTTGAATGATATTTACAGTGCTGTATGACAAACCCATTGCACCAGTATGTTCTTCAAAAACCTTTGGTTATCCATGCACACAAGACTTCAAAGCGATCCCTCTTAAATTCTCTTGCAAAGAGAGAATATTCAAAAGTTCATTCAGAAAAGTTCAAACAGAATACGGCTTGCTTTGTTGCTGCGTTACTCACACAAGGTGGTTCACATGTGAAACTCTCCTGAGGTTGTTTAACAAATAATAGGCTGTTCAAGCTACTGATGTGGGACTTTAAAGTTTTAACTTGGTTTGACCTGGTCGCCAATCAGTAAGATCATTCCAGATAAAATTGGTTGTATACAGACACCTGCGTGAGACCTGTCTATACCTGTCGGAGACGTGTCCCTGAGGCTACGGAAACCAAATACTGGGACTTTCAAGCTGATTTTTCACGGATTACTCGTTTACGCTTAAACCTGCTCTGATCTTAATAAAGGGACTTTCTTTTTTTACATTAGGAGACGTATCAAATCACGCACCATACGGAAAGCATCCTTTATATCCGATTTTTCCAAGACATTTCTTATACATTCACTTTTGGTTTCAAAAAAAGCAGAAATAAGCAAGAAATGTTGTTGCTGTTTGTGGTTTATAGCAAAGTTATTCATTCAGACAGTGAAAACTACTTTTCAAAAATGTAAGATTTTTTTTTACAGTTTTTAAAAAAGAAGTCTCTTCTGCTCCCCAAGACTGCATTTATTTCATTAAAAATACATATAATAATATTGCAATTCAAAATAATGGATTTCTATTTGAATATATTGCAAAATGTAATTTATTCCTGTGATCAAAGCTGAATTTTCATCACCCTCCCCCCAGTCTTCAATGTCACATGATCGGTCAGAAATCACTCTAATATGATGATTTGATGCTCAAAAAAACAAAAACTCTTTCTGACCTCACTTTTATAGTGTAAAGTTTGAAGGACATTGTTGTAACAAAACACAATTCTGCCTTAATTATAGTGCGCTGTTATGGAATCTTGTAATTACGCACGTCATAAAGAAACCGAATGACTTCAGCTCCTTTGTTAGCGACAATGATCTGTCCATTTGAAAAAGGGTCTGTGACATCAAACAGACCTACTGTCAATCAAAATCAGACTCCATGGGAACTGGTGGTCTAGAATCCGCTCCAGGCAAACCCAGAGTTAAAGAAGGAGACGTAACTCCAGTTTTTGTCCATGGTTCCGAGAATACGGCATTAATTAGAGTGACACATAGGGTTTGAGCAAGGCCTATCATATTCTTGTCACAACGTGAAGGTGCAAGTCCTCCTGGCTTTGATTAAACAGCCCCCGAGGGTGTGGATTTTTAAAGAGAATTCCCCTCATTCAATCATACATGAGTAAGATGCGCAGGCGGCGGATGCCATCATCAAGGGATGATGCAGACATCCAGTTTTCATTTTAATCACAATGATGTTGGATTTTATAGGTTTTGTCAACTTATCCAGCATTACACATAATAGCAGGATGGTAAGAAGTGGTCTGCACATATAACATAAGTCTCAAAGACCTGTATTAAACATCAAAGCTCTATCTGGGGATTCCTGCCTTTTAAATGAGACTTTAGGTCTTTGCAATACAGTATTTAGTTTTTTTTTTTGTTTTTTTTTCCATCTTTCGATCTACCTAATGGACAAACGAAGCTATGCAATTTACAAATGAGCTCTTTCTGAGACCAGCCGAGCACTGTGAGTGTGTGTTAAAAATCAGGAATGGAGAGAACAGTGTGCTTGGTACGTTTTTCGTCTTGGGTCAACTTGGGTCTCCAGCTGACAAAGTTTAAATCCCGCCTGGCTATCGTAATCCCGCCTTCTCATAATGTTCACGCATTCAGACAGTGTTTTGTGGCTAAACGCATTCAATCACATGAGCGTTTACACTACGAAAGCAATGTTCGAATATGTTTTTGACTACCTCTGGAAGTGCTCAAAACATTTTAGACCCTGTTTACACTTGTATTTACCGCATCATCCACTTGTGATCCGATCGGCCGAAACGCATCTTAATACCTTTAGTGTAAACCAGGCCAAAGCTTAATATTTAAGTTTAGGGATTTCTTCAAATGGGCTAACATTAACCCTCTGGGGTTGTTTGTTTCAGAGTCACACTCGGGGTGTTCGGGTCCAAATGGACCCAAAGGGCGGGATTCATATTTTTATGATTTTTTTTTTTACTCGTATTTACAATATTTTTTCTCTTCTTTTTTGGTGTTTTGAGAAAATTAAAAAAATATATATATATAATTAGTATTAATGCAATAATTATGACAAAATCTACCCCCATTGAACATAATAGAAAAAATATTTAAAAAAATATATATATATTTTTTTTTAAATCTGTATTTCATTTTAGAGTCAAGCCTAGGCCTCATAAAAGCAATTTTTGAAATGAGATGGATGCCATCTGGTGGACAAACTGAGCATTTTAAAAATGCAAAACACATGTATAACCTGAATTTTTGTGTATAAAAGTGTGTTTGTGTGTGTGTGTGTGTGTGTCTGGATGTGTCTGTTTTGCACTCTTGATGTTTTATAGATTCACCCCTTCATTGTTGTGTGCTTTTTTTCAAGATCGTGGCTGATTTGTAGATTGTACGCACAAAACAACTCAGTATTTCACATTTTTGCCAATTTTCCATGCATGTCCATTTGGACCCGAACACCCCAAGTGTGACTATTTTTTTTACAACCACTTAGACTATTCACATCCTGTCCTCAATTTTTTGGGGTGTTCAAATACCAAATATCAACAAAGTCACCAAATTTCGGACAATTCCGAGGAAGCTGTGATTTTTAAAATTTTTAAATTTAAATTCTTCGAGTCCATTTGGGCCGAACAACCCCAGAGGGTTAAGTATGAGCTGTAATAGTGATGCTTGACTTGCGAAACACAGACGAGTCTCTAGTGTCCTTCAGATTCAGATGAAGGTTCTCCAGTAAGCGGCTGTGATGTCGAGGGACATGATCATACAGGAACAACACGCCTGACTGAAACAGTGTCAGCTCAGGTTCTTCTCATCTCAGTTGAGATAAAGAGTGAAGAATTACAAAGGCAGTTTATCTGACTGTTGACTGGACGGTGAAATTGGGGTGTATTCATTTCACATAGAGCAGAACCTGATTGTCCTTAGAGTAAGGACAGATGTCCTGCCAGAATCACACATCAGCATCATATATGTGTGTTTCAAGGTAGCGGTGCGCTGATCATGAGATCAGAACATAGTTCTGCTAAAATTGAACAGACCACTGATGGTTTAACCCACAAAAGAAGCTGTGAAACTTTCCACAAGACCAACAGGCAGAGTCATTACACACACTCAAGGAGTGGGTAACCTTTTAAGAAACTCAGGAGTTTCCCTTTCATAGCTAGTGATAATAAATCATTTTGATCAGTTTTGAAGTTACAATTAATTTAAAGGGTTCGTTCACCCTAAAATGAAAATTAAGTCATAATTTACTCACCCTGGTGTTGTTCTAATGTAATGCAGTATGTCATTATTTATTTTTTCAAGCCACAAAAGGAGAATTTAAATATATAATGGCAGTGAATAACGACCAGCATCAATCTTTTTAAAAAAGATGGAAAAGTATCACAAAATGATCCCATGCAACATGTGCCGTATATTCCAAGTGTTCTGGTTTTGGTGGAAAACAAAAGGAAATTTCATGAATTATTTTATGAAAATCCTGACCTTGGCCT